TAAGCTTCTTGGACTAAACTCCCCATTCCACATCCATTTATTTTGGGGCATTCATAAATTTTAAGTTTCACACACAACTGAGGGAATGAGATGAAATTAAATTCCATAGAGTCAATTTTGCTACCATTTAACAGCCGTGATAAAACATACTGTGCCAAACATGGTGGCACACACCTATATAATCCCAGCACTTGGGAGGCTGAAGCAGAAGGATCAGAAGTTCAAAACTAGCCTGGGCTACAAGTGAGACCCTGTCTTGAAAAGATGTATTGTGTGTTTATCTTAAAACAGGAGATTTCTACTAACCACATCCACCATCACTACTAAGGTTCTGGGGTCATCACTTAGGAGGCAGAAAGAAGATAAGAGTCAGAGGACATAGAAGAACACTGTGACATGCTACCTTCTGGACATGACATGACTAGCACTCTCCCATGCACTCAAGCAGCTGTGGTTACCTGGCCAAGGTCAAGACAGTCAAAATCCCAGTATAGATGGTATATATGATCTCCAGGCCCCACCCTGTACTGAGGATCTCTTAGCAGGGGCCAGTTGCTTGGGGAGGGGACTCATTCTTTGAGGGTATGGCCTCTGGTAAGTTTCCCATGCTCCAGTGGATGGCCCATGCACATATGCACAGCACTAACTAGACGTAGTGGGTTATCAAAATAAATAAAGCATTAAATTGGCAAGGAATATATTAGGGAAGAAAACTAGGGGAGATGGAAGAGAAAAGTGGGGAGTTTACATTAGAACATAGTTCATTGTATACCTGTATGACATTTTCAAAACTAAGCTTAGATGTACCTAGAGGAGGGTAATTTCGAGTCTAAGTATGGCTTAAGTTCATCCAAAATGAAAAACAAACTGGCTTTTAGTCCTAGCAACTCTGGCAGAGCCAGCTCCTATCAAAAAGGAGTAGAATAAAAATACTGGAATGGTCTGCAAATGTTAGGGTGAGTATCAATCTAGGCAGCCCAATGATCAGTCAATAGTCACCATTGTCACTCTTAACAATTTTATTTTTGAATATATTAAAATGAAATAAGCATCATTTCTCTAACAATGCAAATAAGCAAAAAGAGCAACATTAGTGCAACATATCATACTACAGATAGAAAGTTCCCCCTAAAGTGGAATCAATTACCATTTATTTTAAAATCAACACGTTAAACAGTTTTCCAACAAAAGCACATGGATTTGGTTGTGTTTTCAAATTACCTAGGTTACATGGCTTTCTACCTGAGAAATTCATACAAATGAACAGAGTACATTTATAGACTTTCCCTTACCAGATAAGCAGCACATACAAGGAAAGCATACGAAAACCCCTATTTAACTCAAAAAACTCAGGCCCCTGTTTGAAAAGACAAAAAAAAAAAAAAAAAAAAAAGATACGAGAAAATACTTTTCCAACTTAAATAACAAGAAGAAAAGTAGTCGTAACAGTTTGTTCCATTACATTCTTTCCTAAGTCACGGAGTGACAAGCACAAAGTAAGCTATTACGTTTCTTGTAAGGCCTATACCAAAAAGGGGTTGACACAAATCTACAATGCATTCCCACAGATAGATACAGAACTCACAGGGGGCAGCAAAAGCGGCATTTTTACTTGTAGGCCCCAGGAGAGCATTCAACAAACAAATCAAACAGAAGAGGGCCACATCAAAATGACTTAGCGCCACACCTAGGACAGAACAAACTGCACATGCTGCTCAACTCTGCAATCTGATTCTTATCTTTGCTACCAAGCAAAGATGCCTAAAATCTCTCAAGAAAATATAGCAAACGAGAGAAGAAATTGAGTGGGTTTTGTTTGTTTGAAAACGGTCAGCTGTTTTCTAATACAAGCCCATAAATACAATGGAATAAAATGTGTTGGGGGGGGGGTGTTGGCCAATTTTTCTTGGAGGAGAATAATATGTTGCCAGAAAACTGTCTGACAAAATTTAAGTTGTTGGTAATTTCGAAGGCTACTTTGGGCAACAGTACTTTGACCACGAATAGTCATGAAGAGCCATTGCTAGTCCTCAAAAACAAAACGAAACAACAACAAAAAAAGGCACTCTCAACCCGTGAGCAATCTTTTGGACGGGACAAGTCAAACCTAGCTTTAACAGTAAAACCAAGCATTGGCTTGCAAGTGAGACTGAACATGAGAGACAGCACACTATTCACCTGGTTTTATGTTAGTAACACACGGGGATCTGTTACATTCCTTTCTCAGCTTTTAGGCGCCTGAACAGATCTCTCTTCAAATAGGAATACGCAGCTCGATCAATCAAACAACCTGCGGCTTTTACTTCAGGCAAATCATACAATTTTGTAACCACTTCAGACACCGGGTTGCTCAAGAGGCAGTGGATGGGCACACAATGTGAGACACGATAGTAACCCCATCCACTGGTACTCTACCCGCCTCCGCTAGCAGATGCCTTCCTGCTGAATGTCCACTTGAGACTGAAATGAATTGCTGCCCTTCACTGGTTCTGTGGATTCCAAACAACTATTCCTGTTGCAAGCAATCTCTAATTCACTGGGCAATTGCCAGGTCAGGTAGAGCTTTGTTGGGAAAATGAAGGTCCTGAACCAATGTAAGGCAGAAAGAGTTGGCCAGGCTGTCTACAGAACACGCACTGCACTAAGGGGAATCTACAAATATCTCAATTTAAAAACATATTTAAGAATTCCAAAATGAGTCGGCAAAAAAGATCAATCGCTTATTTCACATGGTTTACAAATTCTGCACTCTTACAACTCTTCCACAGCTAGAAAACTATGGACTTCTCTTTTAATCCTTCCTAACTCCATGGCATTGTTAAGGGCAGAGGAGGCACTTGCTACTGTTTTTATAAAAGTCAGTTTGGGGGATATTCAGTGACTTTTTACAAACTGATGTCACCCAACCCTGAGTGAAAGGATTACATAGCCTGAAATAGAATACTGTCACAATTTTTCTTCCCAAGTACCATTATTGATGCTCCAGGATTTTTTGATATTTCCTTTTGCAAATCCCCCTAATTTTATAAATTCAATCCTGGTGCTTTGCTTTTGTATAGAAAGCTATGGGGTTCATAAAACAAACAAGAAAAATTCTAACAGTCCCATCTATTTAACCACCAAAGGGCAATCAGCCCCTTTTAGATTCTTCTTCTTCTTTGAGAGCTGTGAATATATTCATTTCCTTCTGGTGGGTATCCACGAAACTCTAAAGCCATGAAATCTATTATAAGTTCTAGCCTCTGGATCTCTCCTTTATCTAGAACTACTGTGAAGTAAAATTCAGGAACATTTGTTACCATACATACTGCTTCTTACCAAATCTAGAACACATGAAAGGACGCCTCTTTGTCCACCACTATGCTCTTTGAAGACAGATGATGATGCCATTCTGACAGCAAAAGAGCCTTCTTAATGCTAGTCTGCTCCTTTCCTGGCACCAAATTAAAGCTTCAAATAAAATCTGTCCTTGGATCATGAAGTTTTGCAATGACTTTGCTTCACCAAGCTTCAGAACCTACAGGTTCCCCATTCCCAAAGCTTGCGGCATTTCGATTCCCACTTGAAACTTTGGCAAGAGGAACAAGTATGTGCACTTGACCCTCTTCTAGTTCTTGTTCTGTGGTTGCTAACAACATAGCTCTATTTGGTCTGAAGTTTTTGTTTGCGTCAGTTGTTTCTTGTAAATAAGGGTGTTCCTGATCAGAGTGGCCATCAAAACATTTTCAAATACAAAGAGCCAGAGTAGCTGTCTCCTAAGTAGCCTCCATACTCAATGTGGTCCTGGTTGTCATCATGACCGACATAATAATGACCAGCATCAAGCATGCCATATCTTTTAAACCTTCTTACAGCCTGGTTATATTCTGACTTCCAAGAGTTCTGCCTTTTTCTGGAGAAGTATCCCAAATATAAAGCTCTAGCACGCTTTGGTGGCATTAATGGCATATAAAGGGGTCTGTATTTCACATTCTGGCCAAACATACTACCAGTAACTCTCCTCCTCTTTCTTGAGATGCTCTCTAATTCCTCACTGGAACTGGATTCGTGGTAGTAGCCTTCATCAAACACAGGGCTGGGGTCTATTTTTTCTCTAGTTTTGCCTGTGTTCTTGTGAACTCGAATGGAATCCCATTCACCCTCAAGCCACGAATATCGCAGTTCATACTTGGACCTTTTACCTGGTGCCCTGACTCTGTGCCTAAAGCGCTTTTCCTCACTGTCGGGTTTCCACGCTGAATTCAAGGCCTGCTGACTTGACCTAGTTTTCTGCCGGCAAGTAATGATTTTGTCAGTGTCGAGAGGCCTTCGTTCAGGGGAGCTATCATAGACAGCCATGGATCTTTCTTCCTCCTCTTCGTTCACGCTAAGGGTTTCAGTGAAGCACTCAGAATCACTACTGATTTCCTCCAAGAAGTCTGCCAATGACAAACCTACGTCTGCTGACCTTAATGATGAAGAAACTGGACTTTTTCTTGCGTAGTGAGAATCTTTGACTCTGTGGTTGTGAATCTTTTCCACAGGATAGCTTTCTCCATCATTTGGGGACAGGTGATCTTCAGTTTCACTTGCCATGTCATTGCAATGGTTTTTTAATTTCTTAGAAAATTCTTTGGTATAATTGGTCTTCCCTGTGTTTTCTGGCTCGGTCTCGAGATCCTTCATATACTCCTTTGGCCAGCCCCCGTCTTGATCCTGGTCTTTCCCTTCCAGGCTCTCCTCTTCACTCAGACTGGTCGAGTGGCAGCTATGCTTTCTCAGACTGACCTGAAATCCATCCCCCTTAGCGTAGACGTCTCTCTGCCACTGACATGTACTTGTTAGGTGACTCGCGTCGAGGCAGAATCGGGCATATTCTGGAGTCTGATAATAGTTTAATAGATAGTCAATAAATTCATCTGTTTCATAGATCTTCTGTTTCCTGCCATGGTTTATCACAACTTGTCTAGAAGAATATGACTCATTAGAACTTCTGTCGTTGCAGTCTTCTTTTTCAAGGGACTGGTCTGGATTTGCTGTACTCTGCAAGGAATTCTGGTCAGAGACCAAACTGTAATGGTACTCATCAGGTAACTCCTTTCTGGTTGAGTCTCTTACTTGTTTCACTCCAGGGCTATGTGAAGATTTCTGTAACTGGGCTTTAGTTCTTTTCTTCACTTTTTGTTTTTGTTTATTGTCAGACTTGGGAACTTGAGAACTCGGCATTTCTTCCTGCAGAATGCTTAATTCTTCTTCCTCTGGAGGTTTCAATGCAGTCCCTGGGGCGTGTTGCACTTCAGGCTTTGGAACATCAACCTCCTGAGGGTTACACTGCGTGGATCCCTTTAAAGAAAAAAAAGATTTAATGATCTCTCATCAAAACCCAAAGAGGACCAGCAAGATGGCTCAGCAGGTAAAGGTGCCTGTTACTAAGGCTGAAGACCTGAGTTCCAACCCAGGAACCCACACGTGAGAGGGGAGAGAACTCTCTGGTGTCGTCCTCCGACCTCCATACACATACACTGTGGCATGCTGCCCCTCCCCAGTCACACACAAAATAAGTAAATAAACATAAACAAAACACAAAGAGATTGAAATCTTCCAAAAACTGAGCTGGTGTTGCTCTGAAGAAACCCAGAGTAGGTCCAAATTAGGAACACTATTGTACTGAGGAGACAGTAGTACATTAAATGTCTTGATCTAATATGAAATGTTTTTACTAAACCTGTGACCATTCTTATGACATGGCATTTAAAGTACCTTGCTCTTTTTATTTGTTCAAAAATCGACCAGTCTACTGTTTTACAAAGAGAAATAAGGAACGCTCTGTTGCCCTCACAGAAAACCCTAGCACAGGAAATGACACATGGGTGAAACATGTCCAACAAGGTCAACTGAACTAATGAAAGTCTCTCTGTTTTGTACTGCAAACTTTTGCCCGTGGATTGTAAATTGAGGATGTCTCAGAGTTGAGTCACCCGGCCTGCCTCACAAAGATGGAAGATGGGGGGCAGAGACACAGCTCAGTGGTGTAACACTTGCACCTTACAAAGAAAAAAAGAGCCAAGCACCAAGTAGACAATATAGCTGTGCCCACCGATTTGCCTGTGGTCAAGTCCGATGATATCTGTTCCGCAGAGCTGAGGAGTAGGGGAACAAAGATGCCTGCAACCCCATCCCCAGGAAGGTTTGCTGCATGGTCCCCCTGATGTCTGTCACACATCAGGGCCCAGCGCCCCACTCTCAATTTGTAATCAGTGTAAGTATTAACAGGTTCCAGAATTAGGTTCCATGCCCATTTAAAGAAGTGGATTCTACAAAAAGAGTCCCACTTGGACATCATTAAGGTAAACTAAAATCCAATCTAGCTGGGCCTGCTATCAATAATCCAAGCGCGAGATTACTTTTTACTGATCCTGCTTTCACCAAGTCAAGCTATCTATAATAACAAGGCAGAGATCAACATGGCAAATACGACATGAAGTTCACTCGAAAGCACAGGAGCAGCTGTCATCCTTCCGATTTAAAAGCACTGCATGTGGACTGCTACATGGATACTTCCAAAACATCGCTGGCTTCCAGTCCAAGATATCTGTGATTCTGGCTAGCCCTGCGAGCCCATAAAGGGAGAGAAAGATCTTAGAGAGGCGAAAATCTGTGAAGAAGATAACTAACCTGTGAGTTAAAAAATTCCTTACCAGATAGTTCAGGACAAGGCTAATATGAGCCTGACAAGGCTCAAGCATCTTCTCCCTTTTCATCCAAACCTGTTACAGATGGATGGACGGATAAAGTTAATAGAAGCCCACGGATCTAACGCCCACGCCACACCCACCCTTTGCTTCCCCTGGCATTGCCCCGTCAGATCCACTAGGAACTTGGAAAAGAAGATGAAGTAGCTTAAGTGTTCGGAATACCATCCTGAAGTTGAGAAACACGAAGTGAGGGCAGAGCTAAGACAAAACTGGTTGAGAGACTGGTTTTGGAAATCCATGGTTGAGCTTACGTGAGAGTCATTGATTTCGAGGAAACCCCTATGAATGCCACAAGTCTGCCACACAGTTCATTTTAGTGGGACAGTACTTAAAGTCAAAGAAAGTCCAGTACCTATCAACACTGAAGAGAATAATTGGGAAACAGCCTTACCGCAATTTTCTTCAGGAGTACCCGGAGCAATCGAAGGGCCTCAACCCGCCGCTGAGCCAGCAAGTACTTCCTCTCCTCCCACTCCTCTGAAGAGTCCAGCTCCTGACGAGTCTCAGCCTTGGCTTTCACCTTCTCCTTCCTTGGCCGGTGTCTGTCTCTTTCCTTCAGAGATCGCCTCCTGTCCCTGGCCTTCTTTCTCTTCTCTTGGGCTTTCCTTACTTCATCTTTTCTTTTTCTGGATGACAATTAAAATTCATCATTTGAGCAATAATTATTAGCCACTGGGTCTCACTTCCATTCCCCCCCCCCCGCACCAAGAAGAACTAATCATTTAGGCTTCCAGAAACCTATGACTGGTAACCTCAGAACCAAGAATTGACAGTTCATGGTAAAATGATAACAGCCAGAGGCTGGGGAGATAGCTCAATCAGTAATGTGATTGCCTTGTATATACAACAACCTGAGTTAGCACAGTGGGTACACCTTTAATCCCAGAGCCGGGGAGGTACAGACAAGTAGATCCCTTGGATGCACTGACCAGATAGTCTAACATATTTGGCAAGTTACAAGTCAGCAAAAATCCTTTCTCAAAGAAACAGGTGGACAGCATCAGAGGAATGACACCTGAGGTCCTCTAGCCTACACACACATGCACACATGCGCGTGCGCGCGCACACACATACATGCACATGTTGCATACATGCTTCTGTACAAGCACATATATACAAAAGAAATAAAACACTTGCCCCCTAAAATCCACAAAACATCAAGGGAAAAATACAATAATTTTGGCAAAATACAAATGTATAAAAGATATCTTTTGGATAGGGAAGGAAGGAAGTGGGGAGGGAGGCGGGCAGAGAGGGAGGGAAGGAGGGAGGAAAGAAAGTAAAGGAAAAAGAGCTTTGGCACTTTTATGTGATGCCATGAAGGATAACAGGCAAAAAAAAAAATGAACAGCAGGTTCTATTCTGAAGGCAGAAAAGGGGGATATGGTCTGAAACCACAAAACTAGGACAGCAGAAAATGGAATGGGAGGGGAACCTGGATTCTCAAATACAGTAAGCCCTTGATGTAGGAGGATCTTCTATCTATCTGTTGCTTTCATTGGTTAATTAATAAAGAAAACTGCTTGGCCTGATAGGTCAGAACATAGGTAGGCAGGGAAGACAGAACAGAATGCTGGGAGGAAGAAAGTAGAGTTGGGCAGACGCCATGATTCCCCTTCCCAAAACCAACACCGGTTAGACTCATCCTGGTAAGCCACAGTCAAGTGGCGACACAGATTTATTAGAAATGGGTTAATCAAGATGTGAGAGTTAGCCAGTAAGAGGCTAGAACTAATGGGCCAGGCAGTGTTTAAATGAATACAATTTGTGTGTTGTTATTTCAGGTGTAAACTAGCCAGGGAGCCGCTCTTATGCAACAAGCCCAACCACAAGAGAAGGTGACAGTTCTCACGAGCCTGAAGTCCAGGTGGAGGATTAAGTGTGACAAGGATTCCTCCTGAGAGCTCCTACCTTGGAAGGCTATAGCCAGGTGTCATTGTGAGTGGAGGCCTACCATTTGCGATTAATATGCCATGCTGAGAGGTTCACGCAGGACAAGGCTCAGACTGGGAAGAACATAGCCGTGGGTGGGCCCTACCCTTTGTAGCAATGCAAAAAGGGAAAACCCCTAAAGTGAATGTAGATCCAATTAACAACTGGCCTTGACAGATTTGGATTCAACCCCTGTTTGTACAGTATGAAGGTAGGAGACTTCAGCTTTGATATAAGAGCACCCAGAAAGAAGCTACTCCAATAGGTCACCATTATTTATTCATTCATTTAGTGTGTATGGATGGATGTTTTGGCGGCATGCTATGTGTGTGCCTGGTGCCCCTGAAGGCCAGAAGAGGGTGTAATTGTCCCTGGGACTGGAGTTACAGACAGTTAGGAGCTAATGCATGGGTCCTGGGAATTAAACCCAGAACATCTAGAACAGCAGCCAGTGCTCTAACCCACTGAGCCATCTCTCCAGTCTCCTCATTTTTACTCTAATATTTTACATATATATTTCTTCTCAAAGAAAAGAGAGCCTATAGAAGAAAAGCTCTTCCAGGCATGTATCCAAAGGAGTTAACATACAGAATATTTGAAGAACTTTAAAAATTAACCATCAAAAATCAAATTATCCAGTTAATACGTGAACAAATGAATGAATAGACAATTCTCAAAAGGAGGATAAATGGAAAACAGACATATGAAACAACATCTAATAGCCATCATCATGCAAATTAAAACCACACTAAGAAGGGGATAAAGAGATAGCTCAACAGATAAGAGCACTGGCTGCTCTAGCAACAGATCCAGGTTCAGTTCCCCACACCCACGTGGCAGCTCACAAGGGTCTGTAACTGTAGCTCAAGAGGTCCTGACATCCTTTTTGGCCTCCACAGGTACTATGCACACACATAGTATATGTATATATATATATATATATATATATATATACATCAAACACACACACATAAAAAAATTAAATGCATCTTAAAACTACACTAAGATGCTATTTCATCTCTGTCAGAATGATGTTGTACAGAAAACAAATAACAGACGCTAGAGAGGATACAGGGACTAAAGGAACCCTAAAATTAAAGTGAGACTCGTGAAACTGTGGGAAGAAACCAAGAGCAATTACCCGCATCAGGATTTAGCCAAAGAATAAAGGATTTTTTTATCTAAGGGGATCTGTGGCCTGGAATTTGAGAAATAAGTATCTTGAAGCGACTGAAGCTCTGGCCAAATTCCCTGGATGTGACAATCAAAAACATGAGAGACATGTAGAATGGTGTCCCTGATATTTTTAAAAATGGTATGATTGACATAAAACAGAAGGGGCCAGAAGGTTAAGAAATGGGTTATCATAGCCCCATAAAGCTGGTATCTGTCTTTCCTTAGCAGAGTTTGGCAATGGTCTAGCTAGGCAAATATTCAGCTAGTCTTGAGCTCTAAGATGGGTAACTAATGCTAAGATTGAAGAAAGAAAACGGAAGTGCCTCAAATTCACAGTAAGAATTCTGGTCAACGAGAAACATGGTTCCAACAAATTCATTATTCTGGGTTACTTTGATTCTTGATCATTTTAGAGAAAGAAAGCTTTCCAAGAACTGTGTTGTTTTTTTTTTTTTTATTTTAAATTGGTAGGTTAGATAATACTGGTAAAGTAATAAAATTTCTAACTCAATAAGTTTAGGATTGTCACTACAAACTTTCAGATCCTGACTATAGCCCACAAGTCCACAGGCGGGATGCTTGCCTAGCAAAGTGCAAGGCCCTGGGTTCAAACCCCAATGCTGAAGTTCCCCATTCTCTCTTAAAATCTCTTTCCCCCAACTTCTTAATCTAGCTAGTCTCCCTCATTACTTGTTCTTGCTTCCAGGAATGCCTTTCTGGTTTCTTGTTTTCATCTACTCTATCACCTGCACTTTCTAAGACTGTCTGTGATGGAGTTTTCCACTTGGGCCAAAGTCTGCCCTCACCTCCATGCTATCTAACAAATCTATTCGCCCAAATGAATGAATCCAAAAACTCCTAAGGAAAAACCTCTTCATTGTTAAAAACCAGTCTACTTACCTTTCAGCTACTTCCTCTTCTCTCTTCTTTTCTTTTTTCCTCTCTTCCTCAAGCTCTTGCAATTTTAGCCTTTCCTGATTTCTCCTCTGGATAGCTCCTTCACTGAAATGCTGGGTTGTATCAAACATAACCTGCTCCAAAAACAGATGAAAGATTTCTTAGAAAGTCTTGCCACTGGACTGGATGGAGCCCAGACGAGAGAGAGGAAGCTAAGATGGCACACAGCAATTCAAAACCAAAGAATTCAATATGCCCCTTTGAAGCCCAGCCATGGTGTACAGCTGCTCATGGGCCAAGATCTGAAGAGTAGTACTTGGAGGCACTGGGATGTTCTTTAAAAGAGTGTATCAAATTACCATCATAATTTTATTCGATTAAACTTAACTCTATAGCAATATTTTTGGTTACTTTTTAATTTAATGTCTGACAATGTCATACATAGTTGTACTGTATTGTGAACATTGTCACCTCCTTGCCCTCTCTTATTACCCTTCCACTTCAACAAATACCACCTCCTTCCCAACTAGCCCCCTCCTACTTTCCTGTCTTAAATTTTTTAGGTAGCAACTTACTTCACAGATGACCACGGGCAGTGTCACAGGGCAGTCTAGGGACAGGTCAGAAATCTATTACCTCTAGTAAACCCAAAACACCAACTGGATCGATTTGTTGTGGTTGATTTTAAGTCAGTAGAAATAAAAATGAGCATGGCAAGGAATGGGGTAGGCAGGAAAGAGACAAGAAAACTAACCTAATGAGATCAGATTATCAACCTATATTTCATAGCTTGAAATATAATGAGTGGGATATATAGATATGCTTATAGACTAGCACAGAAGCAGATGCTGTGTTAGCTCATCAATATTTAGGAGGCCTCTAGTTTGATGTCCACCACAAATAATAAAAAAGAGAGAGAGAGAGAGAGAGAGAGAGAGAGAGAGAGAGAGAGAGAGAGAGAGAAGGAGAGCTAGTCATTGTAACGCACACAAAGGGACTGGAGATGTAGCCCAGTGATAGAGTACTTGCTTCGCCTTAGCAAAATCCTGGGTTGTATGCCCACTATTGCAAAAAATAAACAAATATACATGAAAACAATATATTCATAGCCATGATTCCTCCTAACACAAGCGACTACACACACACACACACACACATACAAATGACATACACACAGGCACTAGAAACTGAAAGTGCAAATTCATGCCAAAGACTGGTTTCGAGAAGAATCTAGCTGCGTCTTTTCCATTGCTGGGTTAGGACTTCAGGGTGATAATCGACGGGCCTCTTACGGATAGCTATTCGGGTCAGCATGGGCTCATGCCTGTGCTACTGGTGCAATCCGGCTAGTATACAACCAACCTGGAAATGCAGAGTTCTTGTTTGAGTTTATTGCTTCCATGGGATGTATGGATCAGGCCACAGTCCTTGCTCCCAGCGAATGGTTCACAATAAACCCGCTGGAAACCTGCTGAATGCCTAAAAGACGCTATACTTCTGCCTAGGCCAAGTGCTGCCAGGCTTCTGCTGCAGCTCCAAGCAGCTGGATGTTGCCACAGCTAATTTTTCCAGAACCAATTTCCAGTTTATCTGGTAGACTGACACTTATTATTGTTTCTCTGATGTGGGAAGTGGAAATGCCCATAAGATGGTTGTG